GCCCCTTTACAAATGGAAAAATTGCTGAATTTTTGGTTTCCCGCTCTCTATCTTTAACTTTAGTTTGCCTCAATCAAATGTTATGAAATTTGCACACAATGCTTATTACCACAAAAAACAGTTTGAATTTTGGTGGTGTCACTTTTACTGTTCTAGAGTTATGTCCTTTACAGATGGAAAAAATGATGAATTTTTCGTTTCCGTCCTCTAAATTAAGTTTGCCTCAACCAAATTTTATTAACTTTAACGCAATACTTTTTACCACAAAATCAGATCAAGTTATAATTTTAGTAGTATAAATTTTACCGTTCCTTAGTTATCTTCCTTTATAACTTTATATGATATGCAAGCCAGAGTATCATCCCCTATTAATTTTTATATAAGATGCAGAGTTATGGAATTTTAGTTGTTGGAAAATTGTTTAAAACTGTCCATTTTCACACTTTCGAAGGTTTTAGAATTGTATTTGTTCAAAAATCACGGCCTTAAACTTACAAAATGTATATACACTTGCAATATCCCTAAATGGAGCCAAATTATTTTCATGTTTTGTTTCAATGAATACCACTCTGTGTGCATGTCCTTTTTTAGCTCACCTGGCTCAAAAGGCCAAGTGAGCTTTTCTCATCACTTGGCGTCGTCGTCGTCCGTTCCCGTTGTTAACTTTTTACATTTTGAACTTCTTCTAGATAACCACTGAATGGAATGGAATCAAACATGGCATGAATGTTCTTTATGAGGTGCTGACCATGAGTTGTCACTTTGTTGCCGATCTATCATCCAAGATGGCCTGCAGCGGGGGGACTTAGTTTAAGATAGGACCCTATAGGAAATACATACAAATGTCTTCTTTTAGAGAACCACTGAATGGAATGAAACCGAACATAGCATAAATGTTCCTTATGAGGTGTTGACCAAGTGTTGTTACTCTGTAGCTGATCCATCATCCAAGACGGCCACCAGCGGAGTAGGACAATATTAAACCAAATATGGCGTCAATCATTATAAAAGTATCTGTTATGATTTTTATCTTTTTTATATGATTTCAAAAACCCAAATAGAGTCAGGTGAGCGACACAGGCCCTTAGGGGGGGGGGTCTTAGTTGCACAGTGCTCACAGTTTTTCTATAATGTAGTTGATCATTAAAATTCATTTAAAGCATAAACCCAAGCTAAAAGGGCAACAAGCTTATCAAGTACTCATGGTACAGCTTTTTATTAAACACGTATTGATATATACATTAAACAGCAAAATAATTATTGATGCACGATGTTATTAAATAATAATGTTTACTCTTTTTATGTGTAGGACAAGAACTATAGAAGATACAGAGAAATTATGAACAGCAGAAATGATAGGCAATTTAAAATTTGCAGAAGTCAACAAAACCTAAATGCTAAGTAAACTCATTAGAGATACCAGAATTAAATTTTGTATTTACGCCAGACGCGCGTTTCGTCTACAAAACGTTCATCAGTGATGCTAGATAAGACTCATAAGGCCACTTTTATAAAAGTTATTGCCCTTGAAAGATGATTATCATGATTATTATAAAAATAAAAAGATGTGGTATATTAAATATGAAAACTATTGATCATGGCTCTAAGAAAGCAATTATAGGCCAGTGACGGCCTTCAATAATGAGAAAATCCATACCCTATTGTCAAAGTACTCAGCTATAAAAGGCCCTCAGACGAAAAATTGAAATAATCCCAACTGTAGAACTAATTGCCTAGTTTATAACAAAACAAATTAAAAAAAAAATAAATATGACAGATATGAAACAACAACAACCACTAAATTTTAGTGTCAGAATAAACTACAGGCTCCGAACTTGGGACAGGCACAATCAGAATATGGCAAGGTTATATAAAAATAAGAAGATGTGGCATGATTGCCAATAAGACAACTCTTCACCAGACAACAAATGACATACCGGTAGATTTCCTGCAAAAAAAAAAGTCCGGACTAAGCAGGAAATTTATACCTTTCCCTTAATCAAAACGACACAAAGATCTGTTAGTACTCACAACACTGACAGCTAGTTAAAAATCAATAAAAACTAATACATGTATTAAAAAAATCAGGTTTGTGAGCACTCAACCCTACCTTAACCTTGGACAGTGGTTTAACAGCTCAACATATAAAGAACAAACTGTAAAATAACCGTTGCAATTGCCTCAACTCGAAAGATTGATAAAATGCACAAAATCAACTACCGGGGTAATATAAAAAACCCAATAGACAAAAAGCACGGAATTAAGAGAACTCACAAGTAAGAAAGGAAATATTCTTAAAATGTTTTTTAACATGACAAAATAAGCTTTTTTATTGCTGTTTCTCTCTCCATTTATAACATTTTATTTGTTTATTTTGTGTATTTATAGGTGATCAGACATCTTGGTTTTCATGATGAATAGGTCAATACTGAAGAGGAAACTGAAAGTTGATATCTATCTACATGGTGAGATAATTGGATTAATGTGAAATGGAATGTGTGCTTTCCTGCAAAAAGAATAGGAAATTCATTATAATCACATGATAATGGCTATAAACAAAATGGAGTTCTATCATAGATGCAGAAAAACACAATTATATAAATGCAACAACATATTATATATATTCGTCGAAAGAAGGGAGAAATAAAGAAAAAGAATAGTATTTTGTTTTTGAAAGGAACACCAGCTTTATCCACTCATTTACATAGCTCCCTCATATCAAATATACTGAAGAAGATCTTCGAAGAACAAATTGCAAAAATGTTTTCTCTAAGAATTGAAGGAAATTGTTTAGTGAGTGGAATAATTTATGCATTGAACTTTTACGTAGTGGATTGAATAACTGTACACAGCAGCTGAAACAGAGGAAAATTAAAATTTACAAGAAAAGTGTTTATTTTATTATTTAATTTGCAAATATGAACGCATTCTTAAGAACACCACAAATGGTGTGACATTCAAATTGGTTGCTTATTAATGTATACAATTGAAACAATAACAAAGAAAACAGAATACTTTGCTACAAAAAATATTTTAAAAATCAAAGTTAAAGTCATAAATTATGTACAATACCTTGACCTAAACAGTAAGACTCACTGTATTGTTTTTGTATGTCATGATAATTTTGAGTCAAAAATTTATTAAAGTTTTAAATATCATTTGTATCATTTATTAAGTCTTGTAAACATTATGTTCATACTGTTTGTATAGTGAAGAAATTTACAATGAGTAAAAATAGGGGAAAGCATTTCCTACAGGGAAAGTTGATGTACAGAAATTTCCTTAGAGGAAATTTGGAGAACAATGTTTTCCTTAGAGGAAATTTGGAGAACAATGTTTTCCTTAGAGGAAATTTGTGGTATTGAATTTTGCCTCAAGGAAAAGTGTTTGGTTTGCAGTTGACAAAATTTCCTCACAGGAAAAAGTATTTCCTCAAAGGAAAATTTGAAGCTGCAAATTTCCTCAGAGGAAAAAGTATTTCCTCAGAGGAAAATTTGAAGCCTCAAATTTCCTCACAGGAAATAGAATTTCCTCAAAGGAAAATTTGAAGCCGCAAATTTCCTCACAGGAAATAGAATTTCCTCAAAGGAAATATTAATGCAGCAAATTCCCTAAGGGAAATCATTTTCCCTTGAGGAAAATACAATTTCCCTTAAGGAAAAATCTTTTTCCTTTAGGGAAATTTGATTTCCCTTGAGGAAAACTACTTTTCCTCTGAGGAAATTGTTGAAAAAAGGGGCATAACTTTTTCAACAGTGGTGCTAGAGCCAAAAATTTTTAGGATGAATATCAGGGAACCAATACCAACCAAGTTATCAACTTCATTTTGACTTAACTCCAAAAATTAAGGTGACAACTTTTGCACTCAGCGGAAGTGCAAACTTGTCCTGGAGACTGTTTAAAGTACAAAGATTCTTATAAAAAATGCAGAAGATAGACAAGAATTAATGAGATGAAATGCATGTTTACGGCTATAAGCTGGTTTTGATTTATGCTCTTTACAAAACTGTTATACATCTAAAAATTGTTTGACAGTTTATCGTTATATCTCTTTCATAAAACAATGATATATTATATGATAAATACCGGTATACCAAATACTGGAGTCTAGGGCCAAAAGTCTAACAAGAGGCGATCCTTGCATTGAAAAAATGCGACAAAAGAGGAGATTATACCGGTTAAAAATGGTGTTCATATGCAATGATTAAGAATCATGCTGTGTTTTTTTTTCTTTTATGTAAGGCATTAAGTATGCTTCAAATTCGTTTACCGAAATTGTCCTCTTTTGTTAAACTAATGAACTCTGCATAGTCTCTATTTGATAACTCTTATGTAGACGAAACGTGTGTATGGCGTAAATAGTAATGATTCGGGAACTATTATATTGAAACATTCCTGTAATTGCAAATATTATGATGTTTTTTAAACCAGGAGAGATTATCAGATTTAATGGAATTTGCCAAATAACCGAGATCTTCGTCTGACAATATTATCAATAACAAACAATACGGACGCAAATTTCCCCAAAAACATTTGTCAGACATAAATTTTAAGATTGACACAATAAATTATCATCTTCACTTTTGATCTGCCAACACACTCTTTCTCTTTACTCTAAATTTTACTTGACCAGAAAATTGATATTGTCGAATAAATATATCATATTTGTTAAAATACAAGCACACTGAGAACGGTTTAAGTGAATTTGTAGCAAACTTCTTTCTCTGTTTGGGTATCAAATAATTGGTATTGGTAATTTGTCAAATCAATAGGAGTATGTTTCAAAATATGAGGTTAAAGGTTTATATAATTTATAAGTGTCATTTCAAATATGTTTAATAAAATGAAAATATATTTGAAATCCATACCGGAGATACATTTTATATACAATTTCTTTTTGTCTGGTGTTTGTGAATTAATGAATATATTTAAACATTGCTGTAAATGCAAATATGTACAAAAAACAACAAAAAGTTATATGAAATTATTACGCTACATACCAGTTATATTTAATTCCTTCTTGCCTGACGTTTGAGAAGAATCAAATACATTTAAACATTCCCATTGGGTGCCATGTAAGTTTTCTGTCAGAAGTATTCCTGGTATGGTTAGGTTATACGAAGATGAATCACAGGTGTATGTAAATCTTATGTCGTAACTTCCAGCTAGGTTACAAGTGTAATCAGGATTGAATCCTTTAATGATACAAACTGGTTTTTCATTTATTCGGAATTCTACCAAACTGTTTCCATACGAGCATTTAAAAGTAAATTCTTTCCCTTCAACTGCAGAATTGGGAAATGTTGATAATTGGTAAAGTGCTGAAAACAATGACATATTGATGAAACTAAATAGTAAGGTTTTAAAAAATAACAGCAATTAACTCCTCCTGACGTTTAAGTTGTCGATCATCAACGAGCTACCGGTAGTAACATTTTGTTAGTAAAATTTCTCACTTCAAGATTGATATTTCTCACGGCCAACATTTCAGTTCTAACTTGACATTTCCCAGTTCCAATTTTACATTACTTCTGAAGTCAGAAACGTACAATTTGAAGTGAGAAATAGCAAGGTCGATCTAAGAAACGTCAAGGTCGAACTTAAAAATGTTAACTTGCAGTGAGAAATACCAAATCGCAAGTAACTACAAAATGTCAACTCGGAATTGCGATATGAAAAGTTGGAACTGAGATATGTCAACTTAGGACTGAATTTTTTATTTCATTTACCAAAATCATTGTTTCTTGTTCACTTCGTAATTATAAAAATGAAAGATACTACAACATAAAAAATGATTATTTTAAAAGTCCGTGTATATTGATTGCATTTGCTACAGAAGTGTATTAGGACATAGTAAAAATAAAATTGACATTGAACTTTATTTCAGTCGAAATTTTGACATTTTAAATCTTAAAATTTTGACTTTAACTGGAAATTTTGACTTTCTAAAATCTCAAAATTTTGACTTTATTTTGAAATTTTGACTTTCGTATAAAGTCAAAATTTCGATTTTGAAAAATAAGGTTCACTGCCAATTTTATTTTAGCTCTGTCCCTAATACGCTTCCGTAGATTGCCGATGGTAGAGTGGTCTAGAAAGTTTATTTCACAAACAAACATCAGGCAATCAATTTACGTTTTTCGAATTGTGAAATAAAAACTTTGTTTTTTTTACTTTTTTAAAACAATAATCGTTACAGACGTTGCCCGTCACAATCTCTATATATATATTGGTCCAAAATTAACATAAAGTGCCCTGTCCCCAAAATCTCAGTTTGTCAATTTGAGATTTTTTACCCTTTCTTCAGATTTTCGAGCATAAACCACTATAGAGTTTTTCCTAAACGATCCGCAAATGTCTGAGGGGCCTGATGAGTTATTTTCGTTCTTCGTGATCGGCGCATTTTCGCTATCGTGATCTGTTTTTCTACAGATTTTTTTTTTTTTATATTTTCGTGATCCGTGATTATGGAAATTTATTTTCTGTGAATCGTGATTGACAAAAAAATCAACTCGTGAATCGTGATGAGACCCCCAACACCTATATAGTCGTTGCCCGTAACAATTTCATTTTGTCAATTTCAGTTTTTTAACCCTCACAGCAGATGTTTGGACATGAACCGCTTTGGAGTTCTTCCTACACGATGCGCCAATGTTTCCTCTACATCACCTTTATTGTCGTTGCCTGTCACAATCTCTATAATTTGGATCAAAATTAACTGAGAGTGCCCTACCCCTAATTTTATATTGTCAATTTCAGTTTTTTACCCTAACTTCAAATTTTCGAATATAAATCACTCTGGGGATTTTCATAAACGATGCGCCACTGTCTTCTCTACAACACCTAATATGTAGTTGTAACCCGTCACAATCTCTTTAAATATCATGAGCTTTACTGTCGTATGCGGAGCATAAAAATAGAAATTTAATGTGAGATGACTTAAACTTATTCCTTAGTACAATGTATATGTTTTCAAATAAACGAAATAAGAAATTTAAATTTCTATTTTTATGCTTCGCTTACGACAGTTCCTTTGTCCATTCGTCCGTTCGTTCGTACTGGATTAGATTAACGTTTTTGGTTCAGGTAGTTTAAGATGTAGATTTAGTCAGATGAACTTGAAACTTAGTACACATGTTCATTATGATATTATGATCTTTCTAAATTGTATGCTATAACTAGCATTTTGACACAAATTTCAAAGTTCACTGAATATGGAAAAGGAGTGTGCGAGCGAATCATCATGGACAAATATTCTTGTTTTTTTTTATATTTATTTAATTTGTTAACTTTTATTCTCATTTCTGAACCGCCCTATGCTATTATATAATATCCCCTTAGGGCAGTGGCTGGTTCAGAAATGAGAATTGAAAATATTAGTGCCAAGTTTTGAAATTGAAAGTCCAATAAGTAAAAATAGTCGGATCAATATATATAATACGGTCAACTTTACATGATGGCAAACCACCATGCCAAGTATGAAAACTTTCTGCAAAACTATCTCAAAGGAGTTACGTTCACGAGTGTTATATACAATACTAATATATGGTCAAAGTCCCATTACTACTATAAAATATTGTCATTCAAAATGTCTGTATAATATAGTTAACTGTACATGATGGTAAACAATCGTACTTATTATAAGACCTTTCTGTAAAGCGGTCTCTGAGAAGTAACGTACACAAGGAGATGTTGTTACAATGCTAAAAATAAATGGTCAAAATCCCATAACTCTCATTAAACCTGTCAGAATCAAACTGACGATAAAGCTCAGCCAAGAAAATTTGATGATAAATAATCCTCATAAGTATCAAAACTTTAATTGTTTCAAATAGTCTCCTCAAAAGTATTGATTGATTGCGGACATCCGGACGGACGGACGGAGAAAACCCGACGCGGGAAAAAAAATAATATTGTTGCCAAAACATGGTTTTTGTTAAAACATTTAAACAAATTTGAGAAACCTCTTTTTGGGTTAGGATTTCAACAAAAATCAATATAATGGTACGCAATGTAAGATACAATTCAAATATAATTATCTGTGAAAGATAAGCGGTAAAACTTTGCTTTCGGTATAAAAAAATTTTGTTGTGCTACGACTTTGGCGGAAATCGATCTACATTCTAAGCCGATTCCCGATGCCAAAAAACATATATTGAGATGGTACTGGAACACATTTATGCTTTGGTACATGTGAGAGAACAACCCTCCCACCCCCCCCCCCCCCCCCCCCACCCCCCCCAAATAAAATTAAAAACAAAATAGGTGCACAATTTGTTACAATTCTTAGAGTGGTCAGTCAAATTCAGATTAGGGGTTTAGGAGAAAAGGGGATGTAACTGTGTTCTGTTGTATGCAAATGATTTGCTGAAGGAAACAGCGAAAAAGATTCTTACAGAAAAACAAAAGTATTGTGATAGTATTTGACACAGTTTTTGACATACGGGATATTTCAATTATCAATTACTTATTATGTCCTTAAAAAATAAAAACAACACTATATAAATGTCATGCTTTCACAGAGAAATATGAATGCAAAAACTGCATAAATTCATTAGAAATATGGGCATATAATGACGTAAGTGTGACGTCAAAAATCCTGTTTATTTCATTTATTTTTTACAATATTATGCATTTTCATATATCATGTGCAACTTTGAAATTATTCCTAAAAGTTCGGGGGTTTTTTTTTTGTATTTTTATTCGGGGGAGGGGGGGACATGCCTTAATGAACCCTACCTACTCCTTTCTGAGTACTATTTAACCGAAATTTATTCATGTTATTTTTAGAGGCCGTGTAGAATAAAGCAAGAGAAAATATTCTTTATGTATACAAAATCAAACAATTAATCAACATAGTAATCTATACACTAGGACTAATTCCACCAATCATTTTCTCCTTTTATTCTTTGTAAAATCATTCATTTTTAACAAGTTTTAACCGTTATAACTTTATCTAAAATTAAGTCACACATTGTATGACTGAATTCAAATCCCTTTTTAGTACCCCTGTAAAAATTTTGACTATTAGTTCATTACATAAATATAATGAAATGTATTTACCTGGATAGTGTTAAAAAGAAAATTTCAACTTCCTGATTGAGTTATGAGGCCAAATTGTACTGTTCTGTTGAAGTGCCATAAATTGTTCATAAAACCAGTAAATATAAAAAGAATGACGTTATTCTATGATTGAAATATCATCATTTTACAAAAAGCAATTGGTTTGCAATGAAATGTAGGATCTATTCTACATAACAATGTATGTGTGGTAATGTTTTTATACCCACGCTCAGGAGGAATTATGCATACTGTTGTACCCATGTCTCCATCGTCCGTATGTCCGTTTTTCCCATTAAATTTCCGTCACATTCTATAAGTAATATAGCTACATGAAATGTGTTATCAGACTTTATGTCGGCAAGTTATACCGTGTGACTCGGATAAATTCATCGTCCGTCAACTTCCTGTTTACCGAATACTTAATATATATTCTAGACATAATGGTCATGTATGAAATTTCGGTGCATTTTATTTTGGGAAACTGCAAATAAGAGGTCCCTGAAATTTGTTATCAAGCTTCATGCCAGCATCATATACCATGTGACGCGGTTACAGATTCATCGTTCATCAACTTTCAGTTTACCGAATACTTATACATTATTCTAGCACATACTGGCCATGTATAGAATTTTCGTCCCTTTTTTACGGAACTACAAATAAAAACTTCCTGAAAATTCCTATCACGCTTTATGGGATGATTCTTTACCATGTAATGCGTTTCAGATTTATTTTACATCAACTTACTAAGAGCAGAATTATCATGATAGTTCACAGTTCTACTGGTCATTTATTTACTATTCTAATATACAACCGAACTGTTTGTTTGGTGGTATAATACAATTGGAAAATTAGCTTAAGAAATAAATTAAGTTGAAACATATTTTATTTGCAAAAGTAGCAAAAGGGATTGGACTCAAGTTATAACAACATTAGTGACGTCCTCTCCCTATATAAATACAAAATACATTAGATAATGACGAAAAACATAGAAGGAATGCATGTAATACAAACTACAAACAAACATAAAAACAAACAATACAATATAATACTAGTATGGAATATTATATAAGACTGGACTATAGTGAAGAGTTGGAAAGTAGGAATTCAGAATTTAGTTGAATGTTCTAAATCTTTGTGTAATTCTGATATATGATTGTACAGACTTAAAAATTTCTTTGTTTTGCTGAAATGAAAGGTCATCGTCGCCAGCCAATAGTAAAGTAAAGTAATCTTTATTTAAAGTCGGGTTGCATA